GGGTTTAGGGTTTAGCGGGTTTAGGTTTCAGGGCTACCCGCGTGCTGGGAAAAGAAGCGTATGAAAGGCCGGGTTGGATATGAGCGGTCCTTGTTCGCTCGATTTACCCGAAACCCTGAACCCTAAACNNTAAACCCTAAATCCTGAACCCGATAAACCCTAAACCCCAAACCCTAAACCCCAAACCCTAAACCCTAAATCCTAAACCCCAAGCCCGAAATCCTACACCCTATAAATCCTAAACCCCAAGACCTCAAACCTCGAGGTACTCTCGGCCTACCTCCTCAGCCAGCAGGATGTCGCAGGAGCAGGCGTCGCCCAGCTTTGGTTGCGCAAGGCTTTACGCCAGGCGCCTGCCGCGATCCTCGCCGGATTCATTCACGCCGAGGCTTGGTTCTGGGTTTATGGGGTTTAAGATTTATGTGGGGTCGAAAGCTCAATGGTCTTGAGTCTTGAAGGCCTTATATAGTGCTTGGGGAGCTTGATGTGGGTGCGGTTTTCATAGAATCTTCAGCGGGCCGTCACGGCGGTTCAGGTTCAGGAAACGTAGTCGTGGCTCGCTACATAGGACGTGGTAGGCCTCCCAAATTGAGAACTTGACCAATCATCTCTGAGTGCAGGCCCTCATCCCAACCCTAAGTTTACATCTTAAGCCCTAAGCGCCGTAACCCAAACTCTCTTGGAGGCTTTGGCGGACGGGGGGAAAGGCGTTCCAAAAGCAAAACATGTCGAAGTCATGACTCCTGGAGGGCCTCCCTCAGCTGTTGGAGTCCGCTGCCGGCTGGGCTAGAGCTCCAAATGCTGCCATCCGACATGCATCTCCTCTTGAATTCAAGCTAAATCTGACAGTTTAGGGTTGTAGACGGAACACTACCTGAACCTCAACGATTAGGATTTTGGGGCTTTGTGCGTTTTATGATCATGAGGTTCCAATGCATAAGTTGCCCGAAACTCCTGAACCCTCCCCTCCTCGCAAGTTGCAAGCTCCTAAACGCAAACCCTCCGTGCGTTAGCGTGTGCGCGTGTTTGTTCTGGATTTTTTGTCCACCCGAAGCCCTAAGCCCTAAGCCCTACCATAAAGCCCTAAACCCTAAACCACCGAACCCCAGACCCCCCCCGGCCCAGCCCAAACCGACCCTGCCCTAATCCCCAAACCCCCAACTTTAAACCCCGAACGCTAGACCGTAAGCCCCAAAAGCCTTAAACCCTAAACCCCAAATGACCAATCCCTGAACCCTCTAGACCCTAAAACCCAGAATCCTAAACCCGGAATTCAGGAAATGGCTTGCTGGTTGCTGGTCTCGCTGGGACTGGCACTGGGCAGCAAAGGGCTGAGGCCTGCTGGCTGCAGGGTGTGAACTTATATTCCCTCTATACAGCAAAAAGCAAATACAGCATCTGTCGTATTTTTTGATCACCAATTCGTATATGTATATTTTTTTTGCTTAAATACACATATATCGGTGTGCACATATATGTATATATACATACATATCAACTTGGCATACACTATTTTGTGGTCACAATAGTTGTTATACAGCAGTCGGAATACCTGTAATAGTATCTCCGCATAGTCCTGCTTAAAGTCTAGCATGACAAATATCACAAGTTAGGCCCCTGCATTCTCGGCCGTTCTTGTGAGCCTCGCGGGGAAAACTACAGCTTTCTGAGGTACTCCACTTCTATTCAGTTTGGGGGTTGCGCGTCGGAGTGATTCCCGACTCCATGTGGGACATCTATCACCCAGCTTTTTCGGGTTCAGTGAGACCGTGCTGCGAAGATGGCGTAAGGCCTGCTTCAAAATCCCAAACCCAAGAAAACGCAAACCACCAACCCCAAAAGTAGAAAGCCTTAAATGCCAAAGCCATGAACAGTTAATTCGAACACCTACACCCTCTGACTGAAAGATGTTTCTGAATTTATTTGAGCTTGGTCTGGCAGGGCAAGGCTTGTGGGTTGGGGATGTTAAGCGGGACACTGTTGGGATTCCTTATCAGGACTCTTTGAGGGGTTGTACAAGGCTTCTTGACAGGCTTTGGGGCTTCAGCTTAGGGTTTCGGAATCGGGGTTTAGGGTTTAGGGTTTCGGATTTATGGCTGGGTTTCGGATTTCGGATGAACAGTGGGTTGAGGCATGGAGGCGATCCCTTCTCTGCTCATGAGAACAGTGAGAACTCATGTCGATGACACCACGCTGATTGCTTGACCATTGGTCTTTCAAACGAGACCTTGACCCCATGAACAGTGATCTTTCAGGTTCGTGTATGGACTTGGGCTCATTCTTCTCGTGCTGCACTTCGGCATCCAGTCTTGCAGAGTCCATGATCTGGTGACCCTGACTCGCAAGATGACAGAGCCTCGGTGCGTACTTGAGTCCATCTCCAGACTTTTGAGACGGTTCGGCCTAAACCCTTAAACCCTAAGCCTTAAACCCTAAGCCCTAAGCCTGACGGCAGGCTCATCCTTGGAAAAGAGCCCCCAAAAAAAGAAATAAAACAAAAACCCAATAGCCTGAGCTTGGCTGTCAACAGCTTCCTTCAGCTCCACATCCCCCTGAGGTTTAGGGTTTAGGGGCTTAGGGTCTAGGCTTTAGGGCTGAAGCTCCAAACTTTGAACCTGCCGCCACAAACCCTTCAATCGATTCACAGAGCCCTGCAACCCAATGCAACTCTATTCCTACACTCACACTAAATGCCGCACCTTGAATCACTAAAGCAACCCTAAAAGCGTTAAGCCCCCAGCTTCCCAAATCCCAAACACGAAAAGCAGGATCAGACCTCCGCACAAGCACTGATGGGTGAGCTCTTGCCGCTTTACCTCCTGGCGCCGCTCCGGCGAGTGCTTTCTCTGCTGTTTTAGGTGATTTTACCAAAGAGGATTCAAGGGATTTGGGGCAATGGGGGCTCGCAGGTTATCTTTCATAAAGAGTTTGATGTTGTTGCCTTTGGGGTTTAGGTTTCAAGAGATTTGGGGGTTGGAAGGGCTTATTGGCCGCCCACAAGTTAAGAGCCTGAATCAGTACAATCGGGTTTGGATGCACAGTATAGTTATACAGGAAGTACAAAGACATTTCATTAGATTTCTTCCGTCCTCTTTACTGTCTGTGCCGCAGCTTTGGGTCGGAGTTGGTTTCGGAAGTGCCTGTGCAGAGGTTTTGCCGATATGTTCGTTGCACGATGCTGTCACCAGCAACGATTGACCAACGACTTCCCCTAGAAGCTGCACCCGAACTGCCTCCCCAAGCAGCATCGAAGCCACCCAACCCCAGAAGCCCAGCTAGCTTCGTAGTATAGAAGGATACCGCCGATACCTTCTATAAGCCTCTGTTTGTATATGGGTAGTTTTCTAAATTAGGGTCCCTTCAGTGGTGGGAAGGCCAACAACAGTCTAAACCAGAAGCCCGAGCCAGGTTTGCCCTGTCAAATCTGCGGCCTCGGAGACCACTGCCACCCATCGTCGGTCTTCTCCTTGGGGTGCCTGGCCGCAGGGCTCTAACTGGGTTTGGGGTTTTAGGGTTTAGGGTTTAGGCTTTGGGGGGCGGGGGGTGTAGAGTGGGGGTGTAGAGTTTAGAATAGGGTTTTACATTGCAGTGTTGGGGGAGTTCATTCGAGCGTGATTTCGAGGCTTTTGGGTGAGCTCTTGGTTAGGGTCTAGGATTCCAGGTGAATTTGGGATGTAGCCGGTAGCCTTTGTTTGGTGTGTTGCGGTTGCAGGGGACCCGAAGCCCTAAACCCTGAACCCTAAACCCTAAACCCTGAACCCTGAACCCTAAACCCTAGAAAGAAAGATTCAACCCTAACCCGCCTGAACCCTGAACCCTAAACTGCCTTAAACCCTGAACCCTAAACCCTAAACTTGAGTGAAGCTGTTGGGAGGGATGTCGAAGCTGCAGGGGCCCATGGGGCTCAGGGTTATCGAGTTCGGAGGGTACCCTGTGGAGCTTCCAAACAGAGATTTGGGGTTTGGGGTTTGGGGTGTTTAGGGTTGGGTGTTTAGGGTTTGGGGTTTAGGGTTTAGGGCTTTTGGGGTGGGTTTCGGGTTTGGGGTTTAGGGTTTAGGGTTTGGGGTTTAGGACTTTGGGGGTTTAGGGTTTACGGTTGGGGGTTTAGGGTTTTAGGGTTTTAGGGCTTAGGGTTGTTGGGATTTAGGGTTTAGGTTTTCTGGGGTTTGGGGTTTAGAGTAAGGGTCGCGGGTTTTCGAGATCAGAATGTTGTTTACCGCCAAGGTCGGGAAGGGATGGCCGCGAGTTTCGCAGATTGGGCGTAAAATCCTGAACCGCCCGAACCGTGGTCAGCCCTGAGCTCGGATTACAGAAGCCTAAGTTACAAGAGCCCGATCACCAAAACCCTGATCTTGGAGCCCGAAGCTCTACTGGGTTCTTGTGAAGGGATTTAACTTAAGTTACTACAATAAGGAAACCGTACTGTTTACTATAGATCCCTATTATGGTAGCTTAAATTAAATCCCGTAACACGAACCCAGTCTATCAAGGCTGAGAAGTTGGGACAAAGTGTGGCTTCTCGTACGTCGTAAAGCGTGGTAACAGCCACCCAAATAAACCACACAAGCAGGTACTGGGCAGTGGTTGGCTGTCGACACTATGGGTGAGCAATGCGACTCCGGCGTTTGACAGCCTAACCCCTAAACACTAAACCGTATCTGTGGAAGTTCAGAGAGTCCTGTAGGCGTTTATACAGTTGCATGGTGGTTGCAGGGTTGTTTCAGACTTCGGCCTTTTTGTTGCGCTTTTCGGCTTGGGCTGACAGGCCCTTGGCCGGGTGATGGCCCGTGGCAACGTACGCACAGCTTGTGGCAATTTTTCACGATGACGCATCATGCGCATTTTGGGTATGTCTCTAACCTAAAACAACATCCACGAAAGTCACGAAATGGTGTTCGACCAATGAGGCCGTTCTTTCGATGAGCTTCATGTCGGAATGTCGATGAAGACTGGTGTGGTAGCATCTATAGACCCTGAGCGAAGGTGGGCGGGAATTCGCCACCCTACATGGCTGCTTTTCTGGCAGTCATCGGTGCTACAGTTGTGCATTCGGAAAGTACGAGCTTAGGGACTACATACAGGGGATTCGGGGGGCTTAGAGGCAAGGGACCTGGGGGTTTCGGACTGCTTTGGGGCATTCTGGTTGAGAGCTTTGGGGGGTTATGGTTGAGGGTTGGGGGGGTTTTAGACGTCTCGGCCGGTAAGTTACGAAGCTCTGCGGCCAGCTCCCAAAGGGTTTAGGGTTTAGGGTTTACATTCAATTGCCTGCTGGTTTTTTCTGTCCGAAAACAAAAGTAAGCCAGGAAGCCATACAGCCGAAGTTCTAGATGCAAGCCTTAACCCGAAACCCTAAACCCCCGAAGCCCTTTACCCAGCAAACCCAGTCCAAGCAGAACCGAGGACCCACGGCTCTATGTTTGGGTGGCCACTCAGTTGCAGCTTGCAGTTAGGTTCAAAAAGTCAGAAGTCGAACTTTCCTAAACCCTAAACCCTAAACCAGCAAAGGGGGAAAAGACCCAGATGGGTGCCCTCGTCGCAGCTCTTGAAGCACGGAATCCAAAACCTGCAAGTTTGGAAATGCTGAAACCTAAACTCCAAACCCCAGACCTTGCACCCAAACCAACCCCCTACACGCAAAACACCTACACCTTAAACCTTATAAGCCCTCTACACCACATACCCCCGCACCGTAAGCACTTTAACCAGCAGATCTAAACCCTAACCCGTAAACCCTAAGCCTTCACGCCTGGGCCTTCGGCCAGCACGAACTCCCCAAGACAACGCCCCCCGACGTCCCAGCCAAAATAAGAGTCTTGTACCTCAGCTCGCCAATGCTCAACCCTGAGTATGTTTGGGCCGTTATCTGCGTTGTTGTTATCTGTGGGTTTTGTGCTTTTGGCGTTCTTATCTCATCTGGTGTAGTTTACATGTTGGGTTCTTGTAGGCACGGTGCACCACGGTTCTATGTCCTTGGGAACTGAGAGGGCATGCTGGGCCTAGATCTGGTGTTCGTTCTCCAGACGGCCAAACCCCAAGCTTCTGGGAATTAATTTTCGGAGCTTGTGAAAAGAAAAATCCACCCTAAACCCTAAACCGTAAACCCTCAACCCTAAACCCTAAACCCTAAACCGTAAACACTCAACCCTAAACCCCAACTCCAAAGCCCCGGGTTCGGAATGGCCCATGCAGGAATCTTAAAGCAAACTCTTAGAGGAACCGTTTAGGGTTTAGGGGGGTTTAGGGTTTAGGGAAAGACTCTTAAAGACCCTAAACCCTAAACCCTTAAAGAGCCTTTATCGGAGCGCCTTATCAGGATCTGCCCTTCTTGCTGGGAACCGTCTACTTCTTGAAATCTTCGGAGACCGAGACCAGGTCGGATCCACTGCCTTTTAGGGGTTTCAGTATATGGGAGTTTAGGGTTTAGGTTTCCACTGTAGGGTTTAGGGTTTCACTATATGAGAGTTTAGGGTTGAGGGTTTGACTATATGAGGTTTAGGGTTGAGGGTTTCACTTTTTGAGGGTTTAGGGTTTGGGTTTCACTATGTGAGGTAGTGCTGCTGCTTAGGAGTTTACGAGGTTCGTTCGACAGCTTTACGGGATTTTCTCGGGTTTTATGAGAGTTGCACAAGGACTTAGGAGCTTGATGGGGTTTGAAAACACGATTTGAGAAATGGAGCTGCTTACGATGGCTGGTGATTGTAAACTCTAGATGGGTTATTGTGGAGCACTGGCGGTGAATACCTTCCTTCAGATGGCTTGTATAAGTTTTGTACACTGGGTTGGATAGCGATAAAGATAAAGGTTTCTCAGGTCTTTACAAGGGTTGCATAAGGCTCTTACAAAGGCTGCATTACTCCCTAAACCATAAACCCTAAACCATAACCCTAAACCCTAAACTTGACTTAGTCTAGGATTCCAAAAAGGTGTTTAATGAGGGTCTCTCGGTCTCGGGGTTTATGGGCGGGGGGGGGGGGGAGTTCCTTATTATATTGTTACAATATACCCCAAAACCCCTCTTCTACTTATTAAGGCCCCTATATTATGATGTTTCGGGAGTTTCGGCTTTGGGGTACTTAGGGTTCCAGTGTAGGCTTTACGGCTTTTCCGATTTCGGCCTGTGATGTTTAGGGTTTAGGGTTTGGGGCTTTAGAGTACGGAGTTCCGGGCTGCTGGGTTTAGAGCTTAGTGATGCTGCAGGGGTTGAGAGTGTATAGGGCTTGGGGTTGCAAGTGCTCCTTTAGGGTCTCAGGGAAATTAGGGATTTAGGGTGGCAGGGCTTAGGACGTTAGGCTGTCGTATTCTCAAGATTCAAGGGTTTTTAAGAGTCTGGGATTTCGGGCAAAATCTTGAGAGTTAGGGCTTACGGGGTTTAGGGTTTAGGGGTTAGGGGCTTAGGGGAGTACTGAGGTCAGTTTGGAGTGTCCGCACATTCAGAGGATGCCCAAGCAAAGCTGAAGATGCTTTTTGTTAAAGAGGTATCGGAGGGGTTTTCAAGACTAACACTTATCTTTGCGAAATTGATATTGTATCACTACTTCTATTTTTTCTTCGCTGGGCCATTTGCTCGACACCGCCTGAGACCCGGATCCTGTCCGCACAGACAATACGAGCAGGAAGAATGATGGCAGTACCCTCAGCGCTACACTCAGCACTCAGGAATCCACAGGACAGGTAACGACAGAAAAGGTAACCCTTAAAAGTGGGATCCTCACTATTCAAAAGTACCCGTGAAGAAGAAACCCATGCCATTCGGCAGCCCTGCCTGTTGCAAGCCTCAACCCTAAACCGTAAAGCGTAGTGAAGACAGCTTCAGGTGCTCGGGACATCTCATGGGGGTGATGGCGTCTTCCAGCACCCAAGCTTGGATTGTATCGACTGGTACAGGTTCCAGAATGGTTGTAGACAGGGCTCTATGAGTCTACAAAGGTTCTGCAGTTTCCGCAAAATAAACCATGTGCGACTAAACTTGAACAATAAGAAGCCTGAAGCTCAATCCCTAAAAGCACAGGTGCGCGCAGTATACATTTTTCAGCATCATACCTACAGTCTCCATTGTAGTTCCTTTTTGGGGTTCTGTTTTGGGACCCTTTTTTAGAATTGGTTAAATCAAAAAAAGGAACTACAATGGAGACTATAGGTACTTGCATGTTGTCGACCAGCAAGCAGTGCCTGCTGTGATGCTGTCACAGTACGGTATCTAGCTACTCTGAAGGTCATGAAAGCTAACCTCTCACCCCCCTTTGATGAACCTGAGAAAGAAAAATGTGGCTGAATATAGGAGCCAAAATAAATACCAATACTATGCTGGTGGTTCCTTATTCTGATTATAGTATAACA